TGCCAAACCCAGGGATGTTATTTTACGTAGGTCTCGGGAAAGATGATAGCCTTTTGTTCATAGTTGCTTTCTGCTTTCTTAAATCTTTTCTGATTTAGAAGATGCCCATCCTGAACACTGATGAATAACGTACCCAGCTTCGTAAAAACAATCCTCTCCTTGCTATAGGCTGTTTCAGACTGATATTTCAGCTTGATTTTGCCCCTGTTTAGCACGGGAGCCTTTTGAGTTTATAAAAATGTCCAGTCTGATGTAAATTTTGGTCACAGAATCACTAAGGTTGGAAAAGACCTGTAAGATCATCCAGTCCAACCATCAACCCAGCACTCCCACACCCATCAGACCATGTCCTCAAGCACCATGGTCTTCTGACATTGAGACAAAAATGTTTTCAGGGATTGAAAATAAAAGAGAAAACACCTACTCTGTTGAAAACTTCTCATTTTCAACAAAGGGAAGGGACAGTGCTAGTCTGGAGCTTCTGGGGCTGACTCTGACACCTCGAAAAATGCAATGAATGCCCTGAGAGAGGGCAGCCAGGCCAGTATTTTCTAGTCTACACCCAGTTAAATAATTAAAAAAAATGTTTATTTTGAAATCTCATCTGTGCTCATGAAGGATATGCAAGTTGGTCTACCTCTCAGGCACCAATCTGACAAATCAGTTGTTTTTAAAAGAAAATTACAGATGGCAATGGATTACTGTAGTATATTATGTCCAGGATTCACACCCTAGCCAAAACTGCTACTGGCACATACCCCTCTTTCTTGCAATAAATGCTTCAACTACTCATCCTCCCCTTTTCAGCTTATAGGCAGTATTCTTCCCAAAGCTCTCACAACTTTCACCGGGACACAGGCAGGCTCTGAGACCAGCTTCAAGTACATTCTCCAAATTCCCCTGGTGCCTTTGTTCATCACTCTAATTTTATAGCTGCCCCCAACTTGTCAAAACTGGGCATGAACACATCACCCCTCATTCCAGCAAGCCGGTAGGATATTCACCCATCCTTTAGAGTTACCGGTCTGCAGCCACCCCAGCACCACCGCCATGCACACAGCAGAACTTCAAGCAAAAGACTTCGTGGCACACAGTCCCAGCACCCATGGAATGACAGCGGAATGACAGCGGGTTTTGGGTGGGAAGGGACCTTACAGCTCCCCCCGCCCCACCCCCTGCCATGGGCAGGGACACCTTCCATAGCCCAGGTTGCTCCAAGCCTCATCCAGCCTGGCCTTGGACACTCCCAGGGATGGGGCATCCACAGCTTCTCTGGGCAACCTGTCCCAGTGCTCCCACCCTCTGCGGGAAGAATTCCTTCCTGATGGCCCATCTCAATCTCCCTCTTTCAGTTTAAAGCCAATTCTCTGGGATATTACCCTTCCATCGTTCCTCAGCCTTCGTTTTGTATTTTCTCTCACTTCTTCTCAGCTTTCCTCTCGTCCCCACAGCTACACTCATCACATATTGTCTAAAGCTATAAACAAAGATGAAAGGGTCAGGCAAACACAGTCACGTACAGAAACAATCTTTTATTTTTCACATCAAAACAACCTCGATTTTAATTACTTCTTTGAAAAGGTAATGAGTTTAGAATGTCCTTTGCCTCTTAGATACAGCCCAAATCTGAATGTTTTTGCTATTACAGACATTTTCATGGTACACATGAAAGAGTTTTCTCTCTTAATCCCCCGCCTGAGAAAAGTATGAGAATCTGGGGTTAGTGCAAGGAGCACAAAGTCCACTGTGAGCAACGGGAAGGACTAAAATAGATGAATGGATGCCCAAAGTTTGGTTTAGTAAGTGCACACTGAAGCCAGGATGGTTGACTATGGCAAGTGCCAAGGCCCGCTAAAGCTTTAAGTAAAAATGGGGTCTATTTGGAATTCAGTTCATATTAGTTATTTCATTAACCATCCAATTTTGACGCACCCATTGTAGGGAATGTATAAACAGAGGTCTAACCTTTTCGGTGAAACACAGAATGAAGTGAGCTAACAAAGTGCAAAATACATGAAAGGCGATGCATAAACATTAGTTAAATCCACTCTGAATTCTCCTACCAGTCAAGCACAGATTAGAGTCACCACTGTTCACAGTGATGATGGATTCAGCACTGCGTTTCAGAAGATACTATACAAACTGATCTGGGGTGACAAAATCTACCTCAATATTTCCATCATTAACAATTTGCAGTATAAAAATTTGCATCTGTTACCACAAATACTTCTTCAGCTCTTTAATTAATCCAAACTTTGGTGATGCAGGGCACATGATGTGTGATTTAGCATTTCTACCAAATTCCTATCGAAATTCCCCAGCAAATTTCCTGTTTTGACATGGGGTACAGAAGCATGTCATAGAACCATGGAATGACAGAATGGTTTAGTCTGGGAAGGTCCACCCAGTCCCACCCCCTGCCATGGGCAGGGACACCTTCCGCTAGACCAGGTTGCTCCAAGCCTCATCCAGCCTGGCCTTGGACACTCCCAGGGACGGGGCATCCACAGCTTCTCTGGGCAACCTGTTCCAGTGCTCCCCACCCCCTCCGGGAAGAATTCCTTCCTGATGTCCCATCTCAATCTCTCTCTTTCCGTTTAAACCCGTTACCCCTTGTCCTGTCACTCCCTGCCCTTGTAAAAAGTGCCCCCCAGCTTTCTTGTAGCCCCACCCCAGGCACTGGAAGGGGCTATAAGGTCTCCCCGGAGCTTCCCTTCTCATTTGTCCAGGTCAGACAACTCTGTTGTCTCAATAACTGTGGAAAAAAATAATGATCTCATGTTTTCTTGTAGGAACATGCCTTTTATAAACACATTCCATCTTTGATATACTGATAGCACATGTGGTCATAGAGATTAACTTCTAACTTTAGGACATGCTAATTCCACGAGGATTGGTGAAACCAGAAGGTTTCCCATTTGCAAGGGAGTGCTCTCAAACAAGCTCTGCACCACCTCCGTCAAATATACTGATGTACCTATCATCTGCAAGTCAGGCAATAGCACTCTGGACTCCAGAATTAGATTCAGTTGTCTTGCAAAGCTTTGAAACCTGAAATCAAATATTCCTCAGGAATTTAAAAATAAATGTTAAAATAATTGCTCTCATTAATGACAAATATGGTGCTTTAAATTGGAAACACCTTCAGCAATAACCACTGGTTACGTTACCTATATGGAAAATGAAAGGGCGAAAGGCAAACACTTCAGGTCCTGTTAAAAATTTAGTTTATCATTAACTGCTTGTTCAACGAACCTTGGTTTTGACACAAAAAGAATCTGCTTTCCCTAAAAAATACCAATTTAAAAAACAAACAAACAAACAACTGCCAAAGTAAAAATATTCCACTTGGAAAACTAAAACCATTTTCACTGCAAACAAAATTATCCATGGAAAAAGCAGCTCAATCACTTTTTAACCAGAGTTCTAGCAACACAGACCGGATCACCAAGGTTAATTCTAAAAGCACATGTGGGTAAGCTCATTTTGCACTTGGGAACATCTCACCTGCTTCCCTACTACGGCTCCCACGATCTCAAATACTCATTCAATTACTCCTGACCAGCGAGCACCGTCATGTAGATGTAGGGAGATTTTTCGGTGTGTTTGTCTCCTGCCATGATTTCACCTTGGTTTTTTGACAGCGTTCTCCCCTCGCCAAGCTACGCCTTGCACGACCACCTCTCTAGCATTCCAGCAGGCAAAATTTAATCCTACACCAGTGACACAAAGAAAAGCCACTATTTTAAAGCTAACTAACTAAGCTTTGGTTTGTAGCTTTCAGTAATCTCTCTCCCCCTGGAAAGAGAAGATTCCAAGTTTCCTACGGTAGTTCTAGGCATAGAAAGGGCCGAGAAAACAATCCAATTGTAATTTTATGAAAAAAAAACTGTGGTTCTCAATTCATGCATACTCCTAATGATAATATCTGAACTTAAAAGCTCTGTTATTTATTTCAGGCAATAAAAAAGCAGCCTCAGGACAGACGATTCATTATCATCATTAGTAGGCAATTCTGCATTCATCGTTACTAATAACACCTGATTTTTTCAACACTGGGAAGTATGTCCACAACTGACTTTCACTAATCTCACTGAACTTCATGACACATTCCACATGACCTAAGAACAAGACCTCCTCCTGCTGTACCTCAAAATGTATTACATTACTACAGTGCCATCCGCTATCTCCAGGGGTATCCATGGATTGTGTGGGTATAGCAGGGCGTGTGTGGTTGTGGTACTGTGTGACACATCTCCTGCAGAGAGATTCTGAATTGAGGTATATAGACATACGCATCCAAGTAAACTCTAAGGCTGAGATTCTGCAGTAAGATCAGTTGGTGCAAATTAACATTATTAATACCTAGTATTCCTCACAGAGTTACTCATAATGATATCTTACCTGAGCTTCAGAACACTAAAGAGGCTCCGCTGCCATAGCATCTGCAAAATAACAATACGATGTGCACTGTCACCTCTCCAGTCCACAAGCTTCAGCCTTGATCGGCCTGAGATCACCCCCAGTCCAAGATACTCTAGGAACAGAGCGGTACGACACCTCAAAGCACAAGCTGATGTCAGAAGAAAACTTGTATTTTCAAATAGTATTTTAAACTGTTTTCCTATTAAGTACATAGCTTTTGTGAAGGTTGGAATTAACGTTTGATACATGCAACTAGCACATCATACAGTAAAACAAGAGAAAACAGAATGATGTTTTAATGAAAACAAAAAATATATCTTTAACCAGGCAACCACTTCAGGCTGTATTTGTCTTTTGAGGAACATCATTCTTTCACATCCAAAGTCACAAACATAAAAAAAAAGAAAATAAACAGGCAACTTTTTCCTTCTATTCTCCCTCCTGCCCATCCGGTAGACTGCGTGACTTCAGATAACATTCTGCCACCAGCTAGCAGCAACCTGCTTCCAGATCCAACATCATTTTGGATTAACTGTACCTATTGTATATTCCATCTCCTCCACCCTCACCCCTGTTCAACACAGATACTCAGACCTAGAGCCCTCGCTTTTGAAGGTCATTTGGGAATCCATGCTGGACCTGGAACAAAGGAGAAGTCTTTCCGACTCGCCCGTGTACCTTCGTGCCCAGAGCTGCTCTCCTGCATTCACTGTTCGAGGCTTCAGAGAGAGCGTTTCAAACTTCACATAGGTCTCTTTTGCAAGGTCAGCTTCCTTCGCAGTTTTCGGTTTCACGTGAAGTTTTAAAACTTTGTAGAGTAAGAAAAATATCAAAGGCAGAACAACCACACACGCTGCACTGCTAGCCCAGATCAGAATAGAGAACTGAGAGCTGCTTTCCTCACTTAACCTGTCGGTGGAGAAAACAATGCACTGCTCTTTGCTAGGTGGCACTCCTTTGGGCGAGACGCACGCCATGTATTGAGTACTAGGTTGCAAACCATCGATGGTGACTTTGTTTTTGCTCGAATCAGTGCTCAGAGGCAACATCTCTTTGTCGCCATACTTGGAGTATAACACGGTCACCGCAGAGTTGCTCGTGGCGTTGACGGTTTTCCAAGTTAAGGTCCCTCTTTCCTCAGTTTCAGTGATCACTCTCAGGTTCTTCACAGTAACATTCTGCTCGGCCATGCTGGCAGTATTCAGCGAGGTCTCCTCCCCCTTCCTGCTTACCTCCCCAGTTTGCTTTTTGTTTCCATTTGCCACTGCCTTTGGATTTTTCTTTCCATCGAACACGGGCCTGGATTGCTTCTTGTCAGCAAACCTGACGGTCGTTGACCGCTCGGTGCTAAGCAGCGCCGTGGTGGTCGGGGTGGTGGGAAGAGGCGTGGTTGTCCTCTCCGGTTCCTGCCTGGATCCCTCCCGAGTGGTGTTCTGCCTCTCCGCCTCTTGCTTCCTCCTATACTTCTGCGGTGACAGGGTTGTAGTAACGACACCCACCACCGCGAC